AGAGAGAGAAAGAAAGAAAGAAAGAAAGAAAGAAAGAAAGAAAGAAAGAAAGAAAGAAAGAAAGAAAGAAAGAAAGAAAGAAAGAAAGAAAGAAAGGAAAGAAAAGAAAGAAACCATAATCACAACAGTACATCAAACTTTTGAAAGGAGAAAACAGAACTCTGGTTACTAGAGGTGGGAACGTGCGTTTAGTGAGAAATTGGTTAAAAGAATGATGACCTTTTAAAATGATGAATATACTAATTATCCTGATTTGCTCATCACACATTATACATAGGTACTGATATTCAACTATGTACCCCACAAATATGTATAATCGATTATGTTTCAATTAAAAAAGAAAATAAGAAAAAGAGGTCCTCAAGTCCTTTGGTGTAGAGGAAAGAGTCCTTAATTAAATAGTCATATAAGTAAATGTAAAATTACAACTGTGTTAAGGGTTACAATGGATTAAGAGTTAGTAGATGGGTTTGAAATTTAACATGGTACTATTGCAGCGTCTAACAGGGGTCTCTGGCCCAGTCTGCAGGGTCAAGTAAGGTTTTTCTGAGGAAATGATGATCAAGTAGAGATATGAAGAATAAGTAAAATTACTCAGGTGAGGAAGCATGTTGTAGACTGAAGAAACAAGATGTGTGAAGATCCTGAGGTGGAAGCACTGCATGTCTGAAGGTGTGGATGCAGCAGAGAATGCAAAGTGGAGCACCACAGTACACCAGGCTAGAAAGGCTGGTGCAGCCAGATTATACTGGGCTTTGCAAGCCATACAAGGGATCTTGGCTTTATCCTGGGAGCAAATGGAGGCTACTGAATGATTTTAAGAACAGAGATAACACAACTGGACTTACATTTTCTAAAAACTCCCACTGAAAAGGAGGGAATTGACTCAGGGAAGGAAAGAGTGGATACAGGAAGACCAGTATGGAGACAACTGAAATAGTCTAGGCAAGAGATGATGATACCTTAATCTAAAAAAGGTAAAAGTGGAAATGAGAAGTGGTTGGATTTTAGAAGTATTTAGGAGTGTAACAATGACAGAACTAAATAATAGCTTCAAAAATTTCAAAAATGACCCAGGTACCTGGCTTGCACAATTAGATGAACAGAGAATACGGAAAGATCAAATTTGGAGGGAGGAGGGAAGAAGAGGAGAAATCATGGGTTCAGTTCTCGACATGCTGAGTCTGTGATGCCTTTGAGATATGAAAATGGAACTCACTGAGGCAGTAAGATATATGAGTCCAGAGCTCAGAGAAGTCTGGATTATAAATATAAATTTTTGAGTTGTTTGAGAATAAACAGTAAGTTGTGGGTACCAATAAAATCACCTGGGGAGAGGAAAGACGACCTAGGACTGAACCTCGAGGAATTCCAACATCTAATGGATTGGTAGAAGTAGATGAACATGTACAGGAGATTAAGGAAGAATAACCACTGAGAAAGGAGAAAAAATTGGGAGAATACGATGTCACAGAAGCCAAGGGAAGAAAAGGGTTTTAAAAATAAAAAAAGTCATTAATAGTGCTGAACAGTACTGGGAGGTCAAGCAAAATAAAGACTTTTAAAAGTCTGTCGGATTTAGTAACATGAAGATCATTATTGACCACAACAAGAGTTGCTTCTGTGGTATGATGAGGTAGAAGCCATATTAGAAGGAATGAGGAATAAATGGTAGATGCTGTGGTGGTTATTAAAGACTCAATCGTCATCCTTAAGTAGTTCAGACTTTAGTTTAAGAAAGTAAAATTTAAACATAGACTACAAAAAATAGACACAACGCTACACAGCTTTACTAATTCTTTAAATGCTACAGAAATCCAGAAAAGGAAGGCTCAAGCAGAATATTTAAGAAAGTGCAAAACTGATGGACTGAAAAATGCTCATTACAGGGAAATTACATGAGAAGAATAGATAATGTGTGTGTGTGATGGGGGAGGGGGTTTAGGGTGGATAAGATGTAGAGAGGAGTGAAGTGATAAAAAAAAAAATCCATGAGATATGGATACAATCCTCTGTTTTGTGATGTAGGCTCAACACTAAATTATTCAGGATTAGATAATCTATGTCCTAGTCTCTCCTTTTTGATGCCAAATAGTGGGCCAATCAATTATACCAAAGGGTTGGTAGGGAAAAAAGAGAATAAAAATCATAAATAAATTGTGTTGCTCACTGGTTTTGGATGATGCTGTGTGAAAGGTGGGGACGAGTAAAATCAATGGCTAAAATGTAATTTATACGTGTGATTTTGAGGCAGTGTGACAGAGTGGAAAAGAACACAGACTTTAGAGCCAGAGGGAATCGGGTCTGAATACTAACTCTGTTACTTACTACCCATGTAGCCTTAGGAAATGCAATCAATCAGTTTATAGCCCAGTTTTTCATTTATAAAATAGGGGAAACAATAAGGTTCTTGGTAAAGTTGTTTTGGGGTTTAGAGATGAGATGGTTGTGCTTGACTTAAATGGTGGCTAATATTGTTTTTTAAATATTGTTTTATTAATATTATAAAAGAAAACAGGAAATAGATTCAAACTGAAAGAGTAGTACTCTACTGGGGACATTTTATTTACTGCTGGGCCCTAATCTACATTATTTTGTAGCTATTTATCTACAGGCAAGTGAAAAGGACTAGATAGCAAAGTTTAGTTTTGGGGCCTATTTTGAAATAAACATATTTGTCTCATGGACTTTTACAATTAATTATATTAACTACGTAACTATTGAAAAAATATTTAAAAAGTCAACATATATCCTTACTTTATATTATGGCTAATTTTGTAAAGAAGAGAGAAAAAGACAAAATAAGAGAAAAAAAGAAAAAAGGAAAAAAGTAAGCCAGAAGAATAAAAAAGGCAACTACAGTTAAGGGGGAAAAGAAAACAGGATAAGAAAGGATAAAGAGATCAGAGAAACAGACAGAGACAAGACAGGCAGAAAGAGAAGAGACAGACGAGAGCTGTGACAGGGAGACTCTGCCTAAATCTCCTTGATCCCTCCTTAGCCTTCCTCTCCCTATTTCTATATGATTGCCCAAACCGAAGTCCCCTAAGCCTCCTGCTCTGCCAAGATAGCTCTTCCTTTGCCTGATCATGCCACCGCTATCATCTCTTGCCCAGCATGCTTTCCCTCCCAGGGGACTCTTAACCAGTAACTTGACAGTAGACCTCCTATTGCTATTGTTTTAGGCCACTTTCAGTTTTTTAAAAAAACCAAAACAAACAACACCTCCTCCGCCCCCTCCCCCAAACACCCACATTTGCATCTGCTAAACTAAGAAGGACACCTTGTGATAGAAATGGGAAAGTATGTGTATAAAACACTGGGATCTTCTTAGAATGTTTTTTAAGTGGTGCTTTTGAAAATCTTTATCATTTTAAGAGCTGAAAAGAGTACTGAGTGTAATTTAAGAAAATATGCCAAAGGCTAAATGAAATTAAACCAAGGGAAAAACCCAGACTCTGAGATTACTAACCCCAATTTATTTAGTATCTCTTCTTACTGTGTGCTGAGGGGCATCTTCATTATCCCTCATGTAGAAAGGCTTGAGTTCTAATGGATAATTAATGACGAAGACTGGTATGTTGCCACAGTGCTTCACAAGGTACTTTTCATGTTCAGTTTGTAGATCAACACCCCACTGTAATGAGAAATAAGAAATGACCAAAGGAGAAGACAGAGCTGAAATATACAATTAAGCACCTAAAAATAACCTGTATCAGTTCTAAGGGCTCTCTTTCCCCTAAAGCTCAATGATGTGTGGAACTGTCTGCTGAGGTTACACAGCTGACTAAACTAGAGAGAGATATTTGTTAACAAAAACAGCTAAAGGTCTGGAAAGATGAAAGCTGAAACCAGCAGATAAACACTATGCTTTCTGTCTCCCATCTCAGAGAGCAGCATTCAGCAGGAAATTCAATAGTACCTGCAGGAAAACAAAGCACATTTTCCAAGGGGATAAAAACTAACTTTGGAATCACAGTTTATAATATTGCCTAGAGCTTCTTCCACAATTACTGTCCTTAAGTCTCAGGAAATTAAATGATGAAAGATAATATTCCTAATACTGAGCCTATCTTTGGCTAGATGGCTTCTTTTGGTGATTTTTAAAAATAAGAGTCAACTGATATATCAGGTACTCTTTGATGAATATTTAGTAACACTTCAATCTATTCATTCAGCAAATACTAATGTGCTTATTAAATTTCAGGTACCAGGCTAGTATTAAGAATAATAGCTATAGCCCCTAACTTCATGAAGCTTCCACGGTAGGAGACAAACATTAAATTAAAAATTATACAAAGAATTACCTGATTATAAATATAACAAGCACAGGTTACTACTACAATAGGATCTGACTTAACTGGGGATGGGGCCGGTGTAAAGAGTAGTTTGAAGACAAAGGCATTACGTTTTTAACATTATCTTATTACTCCTACTAGTCTGGCAATATCTTAAGTATAAAAAAAAGGACTGGAACAGGAATGTGGAGACTTGCCTCTAACATTATGCGCATGCCCACTGATAAATCACGTGGCTTCTCTTGGACCTATATCCTTGTCAAACAATAAAGGAGTTCCTTTATAGAAACAGAGAGTAGAACAGTGGTTGCCAGGGGGTAGAGGAAATGGGGAGACGTTGATTATAGGGTACAAACTTTTAGTTATAAGGTGAACAAGTTCTGAGGATCTTATGTACAGCATGGATGGTGACAGATGTATTAATTTGACTGTGGTAACCATTACACAATGTGTACATATGTGATCAAATTATCACATTGTATACCTTGAATATATGTAACTTTTATTTGTCAATTAAGTATTTTAAAATTAAATGTTTCAAATTCCTTGAAAACAAAGTGTTTTCCAGAGTGGCTCACAAATTAAAAAGCTCTATAAAGTTCTACTAAAAAAGAAACCTGTTTAATATGTTTTTAAAATTTATTTCATAACATAACTTCTTTTGTCTGTCACCTTTTAACATCATTGAGAATACACTTTAGGAAACACTGAAGTAGTTAATTTCTATAGTAATATTCTATAATTACCATTCTTTTTTTTAGGATTTTCATCTTCCTAAACTTGGGAAACTCCTTTATAACCCTTTACTCACTGCTATTCCAATGACACCATTCTATTTCAAAATTATTTTTCATTCTAAGTATTTCAACAAAGTTAAGCAAACATCAAACAAAGCCTATGTACAGGTGAGCAATTTCTCTTGCTAATAAGAGAAATAAGATTATTTTGAATAATTCTTAATGAAGTAAGATACGGATAAGAGGGAAACATTTTTACACACACACACACATACACACACACACAAAATATTACCTCTGGGGTGAAGGTGAAGTTCTGGGATGCTTGCTTTAAGATTTCTACTGCTTCGGTATAAGTAATGCTAGAGGAAAATATGATAAAAGCAGGGAAAGGTCAAAACAACAGGACTGCTACCTAGTCCATCTTAAAACTAGAAGGCACCTATTACCATACAATCGTGTGATCAAAAGTGAGTACTGAGTAACCAGGAATTAAGGTTGATCTAATCCTATAAAAGTCTGATCTACATGAAGAAAAGTGGCCATTCAATAACTCCACTCCTGATTTACTTGCAGTGTACACAGAACAGCAATTCACTTAAGCAAGTAGAGATTTTCTCTGAATCCATGCTATGCCAATGCCCTAATAAAAGGTATGAAATATTGAGGCTGAAAGAGCAAAAGACTTTCATAAAAGCCATCATTCGTTCATTCATTTATTTAATTCAATAAACACATATTTGGCACCTACTGTAGGGGCTAAGCAATATTCTAAGGTACTGGTGATATAGTAAACAAAAATAAAGCCCTGTCTTCATGGAACTAGTGTGTGGGTATGTGTGTGTGTGTGAGAAAGAGAGAGATAGGGGCATGGAGAGGTGAGACAGATAAACAGGTAGCTATTATTGCTATGAAGAAAAATAAAGGAGAGCAGACAGAGGGCGTTTAGGGATGACATTTTAGATAAAATGGTCAAGAGGGGCCTCACTGAGTTGGTGACATTTAAACAGAAACCTGCATCAAGTAAGGAAATGAATCATGTAAATATCTGGGGAGAAGTATTCCGGGCAAAAGGAACAACAAATACAAGCATCTGAAGTGAAGTGAGGAACAGTTTGGCTTGTTCAAGGAACAGAAAGGTCCATGTGACTGAGACATATTGAACAATGGAAAGAATGCCAGGAAATTAGATAGGAAAGGTAGTTAAGTATCAGATAAGATGGATTCTTTCAAGCTTGGTAATGTATTCTAAGCATTGTAAGACTGTTTAGGAAAAATATCATTGGATTTCTCAATAATAAACCCTCATGCCTAAAGTAAGCCAAGCCAAGGATTTGTTTTAATTTAACTGTGAATAGGTAACATATCTGCATAGTTTAAAAAAAAATCAAGAAGTATAAAAGAGTATACATCTCCCTTCTACACCTGTCCGATAGCCAGCCACCCAGTTCCTCTCACACAATCACTCTTGTTAGTTTCTTGTGAGTCCTTCTAGGGGATTACATATAATAATTTAAAATATTAATATACAATCTCCCTTTAAAAAAAAAATAGATGGCAGCCATAGCACACATGTCATACACACTCTTTCACACTTTATTTTATGCAATAGTATGCCTTGCAGATCTATCAGTACAGTCATCCCTTGGTATCTGCAGGGGATTGGTTCCAGGACTCCTTGAGGATACCCAAATCCCCAGATGTTGAAGTCCCTTATATAAAATGGTGTAGTATTTGTATATACCCTATGCACCTCCGCCAATATATTTAAAATATCTCTAGATTACTTTTAATACCTAATACAATATGTTATGTAAATAGTTGTTGTGCTGTATTTTTAAAATTTGTATTTTTTATTACTGTATTATTTTTTTTCCTTTCTATATTTTCAATCCATGGTTGGTTTAATCCCAGGATGCAGAACTGACAGGAGAGAGGGCCAACTATATATGAGGAACTTCTTCATTGTTTGAATTATTACATAATACTCCATTTTGTGAATGTATCATAATTAGTTTAACCAGTGAATTATTGATGGATATTTCAGATTTTTCTGATCTTTTGCTTTTAAAAAACATGACTACATACACCTACTTAATGCTATTACAAATAATTCTTATACACTAACTTTACAAATGGAAAAAGTGGAATTGTTGGATCAAAATTTTCAATTTTTATATATTTTGAAAGGTTTTGCCAAAGATATTACCTCCTTTTTACAGGCTTATAGCAATTTATGCGTATTAGTAACAAATGAAGATATCAGTTTCTTTGCAAGCTGTAGGAAAAACACTAACAGTATTCTGGATGATTAAAAAAAAAAAATCTATAAACTTTCTGAAGGGGCTTGAGCTCAAAAAATAACTTACCCAGCACAAACTTACTCTCTGAAGCAAAATTCCAAAGCTAGTTTTGAAGTGATAGGTTTTTTTTCTACGATGAAAATCCTATTCAAATTAAAATCCAGTACGGGCCGGCCTGGTAGCGCACTGCTACAGTGTGCCGCTTGGGAAGTGTGGTGGCGCTCCCGCCGAGGGTTCGGATCCCACATACAGACCGGCCGCTCACTGGCTGAGCAAGGTGCGGAAGCAACACCGAGGGTTGCGATCCCATTGCCGGTCCCGGTCCGGTACGGGCGCGACACTGAGGGTTGCGATCCGTTGCCAGTCACGAAAAAAGACAAAAAGGAAAAAAAAAAAAAAAAAAAAAGAAAATGAAGGATTGATGGAGCATAAAGTAAGCAGATGCAGGAAAAAAAAAAAAAAAAAAAAAAACCAAATTAAAATCCAGTATTAAATAATAGATCATTTCTAATGTAATAATGGAGGTGGTAATGGTGTTATTGGTAGTAGTAGTAAAAATAATAATTTAAAAATTAGCATTTTACAGAAAGGAAACTGAAGCTTCGAGAGGATCAATAATCTGCCAAAGATAACTCATGTAGGTAAATAGAAAACCCTGATTTGCTGACTTGAGTCTAAGCTTTTAACTGCTAGGACTGCCTAAAACACTTGCAGTTTCATATGTCCAATCAAAATAAAAGATAATGGGCTCTTCCTCTGACTCAACCACTCGCAAAGCTATATGTCATTTGAATTTAGTGAAAACATGTTATTAATTTTTGTAGTGCATTACACAAACATTAAAAGATTAAGTATTTGCACTTGTAAAATAAGATTGGACTATCTTGTCTAAAGTTCTTTTCTGCTTAGACATTCTATTGTTCTATTTAATCAATCACTTGGTATGATCTACCAGTTACACTGAGAAATAAAAGAGCAGTCAAAATGGGAAGCAGTAGGATTTTTTATTATTAAGAAAAAATGACCCTAAATATCTCGTTTTTTAGTTTTTTTTAAAAGATGACTGGTAAGGGGATCTTAACCTTTGACTTGGTGTTGTCAGCACCACACTCTCCCAAGTGAGTTAACCAGCCATTCCTACATAGGGATCCGAACCCATGGCCTTGGTGCTATCAGCACCACACTCTCCCAAGTGAGCCACAGACTGGCCCTAAAATATCCCTTGTTATTCTAGATCTTCTGCTCCACTGCCCCCACACCTTAATTTGAGGCAGAGCTTTCAAGTTCAAATTACAGTTCTGACACTGTATACCCTTAATGGGCTTCATCAACTCCAGATATTTCTCTTGATAGGTATAGAGAATAATATTTCTTCTCCTTTCCAGAAACTGTTTCCAAAGTGCTTTGAGGAAAGGAGGAAAAGACATTGTAATATAGCATTATACAGCAATAAACTACCTTCATATTTCAAAATTTTCATTGTTGAATGAAGAAATTTCATTATTCTAAAGCTGTTGGAGTAAAACTGCTAAGCTAAAGAGATCATTTCTGGCATTCTTTGCCTCAAATTCACACAGATAGATAACGAAGAGCAAATAAAAGAGGTAAGTATTGTATATTTTTCAAATCCTTAATATTATAAAGAAAATATAAAATAATTGAATTATATTTCTGCTTGATAAGGCTAAATTCAATTACTACATAAATGCTTTTAATATATTTTCATATAAAATAATCATAACAAACACTCAAGAATACACTGAAATCTATTTATTCAAAAGAATACAAGTCATGTGGTGTCGCTACATGTATTAAGCAATTAATAGTGGATTTCTACATAAAGAACAACAGTTTCAGCGATGATATAACACCATCCCCCTACTGGCCAGCTGAAGAAAAATTAAGAAAAAATAAAAACATAAAAAGAAAAACAGTTGCTTTGTTTTGCTATCTCCCTGTTTTTTCTTTACGTTTTAAAGGACTAACTCAAAGGTAGATTCGGCTACACCTATATTTTCAGGAATTTCAGAATCAATGCCTTAAAAAGCAGCAGCAGAAGGGTGGTGACAAGGTGGAAGAGAGGGCACCCTTACACAGACAATTTCTCAACTTGTTACCTCTGATGATATTAATTTAATAGTCATCACCACACCACCACCACCATCCTATTATACTTTAGTGGCTACCCTTAGCATTTTAACATGCATATCTGACTTAACAAGTCTAAAGTGAACCAGTAATCTCTCCCTTCCTTTCAAAGAACACCAGGACTAACACACTTCAACTGTGAACACATGTCCAGTTTTACATTACTGCTGTCCAGTATTTTATTTCTAAGGGGACATTTATATTCTCTCAACAATGTGAAGATACTACTTTATCATTCTACTGTCACTATTGTTATTTGAACTGTTCATTGCATCAGCTGTTTCTCACTTAGGGTAGGCTCTTTCCCTGTGTGTTTCAGAGTTTGCTACTGTGAGATTATCTTCACCAGTTTGTTTTTCAGAATACCATGCCACCTGGATTGAGAGTGTAAACCTCAAGACTGGTTTTGTATTTTCTTCTACAGGTACTCTAGGGTTATCACCAACCCAAGACAATTTTTTACTTTAATGTCTTGGCTTGAGGATTCTTGGACTACACAGGAAGAAATTCAAACTCTAGGCTCACTTAAAGGCAGACTGTGGCTGCAAATTCTCAATGGAGACTTTTTTTCTTTTTTTTTTTTTTTGCTTCTGCCCTTATGCCCAGGCTAAAGCAGACATACTTTTTCCTAAACTCCCTATGCTGGCTAGCTGTATTTTCTATTTGTTTGCTTGCTTTCTAGTTGGCCCTTTCATAACGATGCAGTCCTTTGGAAAGGACTAGCTGTCCATGTGTATGCGCGCGCGTTTCAGGGGCTATCCTGATTCTAATTAATTATGCTTACGTCCACTCTCATGTCCTCTTATGGCTGTTAAATCTCTGGTTTCAAAGACTGGCAAACTGCCATCCACCTTCCCTCCCTCCACCCTGAGAGTCTTCAGCATCATAACATTTATGCATACCACTCTGAT